CCATAGCTGCCAGTAGTTCCTCATCAGCTGATTGGTCAGAACCCCTTTGGTTAGACACAAGCGCATAGCTTGAAGACTTGCAAGATAGATTCTCGAGTGATCTCACGATCTTACAAGGTTAGTTTTTTTTTACAGACATTACAAACATGATTGATTTGACAATTATTTGAGCTATCACTGCTTTGGTTAAGGTTTGGTCTAGGCACAAAAACGACTTGGCTTAGTTTAGGGAAAGATCAGGATTTGGGTTTAAATAACGACTTCATTAAGGTTAAGGAACCTTTATTGTCACAGTTAAGAGAAGAACTTGGTTAAGGTTAGCGAGAGGCCGTTGGGTTGGGGTTAGGGTCGACTTTGCCAAAAGTTTGTGGCTGTACAACAATATCATACTACTCCCTCTTTTGCTCCCCACATACAAGTGAGGACAAAGGTCAGGTCAATTTACAGATTATTGGAGGATAGCATGGAAACCTTTGTATTTGTCAACCATTTGGTTCATTTCATTGACAAATCACTTTTTGTAACACAATCTTCACTTTCCCTTGAAAATACTACAACAGTAATTGAATTATAACTAACTATAATGGTGAAATGTGTTTTAACAGGAATTAGTACAGTGTGTAAGCCCCTTCTTCTGCTACTATCACCTTGAACCAAGTGACCTCCTGCTTTGCGGCCTGTGTGCCAGAGCTTGGGTGCATACATGTGTGATGTGTGTGACTGACCACAAAGAATTACTTCCTCAGTGCTGTTGTTCTAGTTCTAGTTTAAAAACAATCTGTGGGCTGTTCACATATTCACAGTACTTTCATTAAACTCAGGACTGCGGATTCAGCAGACTGGTCACTGGTCCTTTAATGTACTATGCTTATAATTGCATTTATTTTATAAAGTGCATTGCAGCATTAGTGTTCCAATGAGGGAGTAGTTTTGCTTATAGACAGCATTCTATTCTAAGTCATATCCATAAAATAGGTGTGTAGTGTATGACCACTATACTTTATCCAACCTGTCATGTTCAGCTTTCTCACCATTAGGATAAGAGCTTGAGCCAGCTTCCACTTTTAACACATTCATTGTCTTGCCTGTACACATGACTAGAAGAGACACATACATTAAACCAGACTTACTTGATGTTAGTGTTGCCAACCTCCTAAGTGTGAACTGCTGCAAATGACTGCTTTAAATGACTTTTGGTAGCCACTCTATCAACTCAGCTTGTTTTCTGTCCTCAGTATCATGAGAAGATGCTATGCATGCTAATGAAACTGAGAATGTGTGTTTTCCTATAAAATGTGAATTTAACCACAGTATTGTTGCAGTATATTGCACCAGCAGCTGATCATTATCAACACATATCTAGTGTTAGCACCAAAAGAGTACACATACAGTATAAATAATAAATACTGACAACACACTTTACCGAATCTTATTATTTATTTATGTATTCATTATTTCTATTTTTAAATTATTTATTAATTTATGATTACTGATAAAAACTACAGTTCCTAGTGCTTTTAGGAAATTAAAAGGCCTTTTTGTAAAAAATTAAGCTACATATTTGTGCCATTATAAGTTGTTCTCAGTGGAAACTCAGAAATCAGAAAGTATTGAGGTTTTTATCTTTTCATAGTCAAATATAGAATAACCTCAGCCTTTGTGCAGTTGATTATGAATATGATTATTATTAGCAATAAATGTATACATTAACCCTGAAAAAGGATTAGCTTATAAACTACATTGTTGTCAGTGTGTAAGTGTCCAAAAAGCAACGTGCAGGAAGTAGCCAAGATGTCCCCCTATAGTGAGCATGAAGTTACCACTGTATGATATGATGAACTAACTCTTTCAAGGATTTAAGGTCCTCAGTGTTCGTCGACTACAGGCGCTCTGTGTTGTCAGAGTTGCTCTAGGCCAGCCTATTGCATGAGAAAGTTTTGGTGGGTGAAGATATCATAAAAGCAGCTTGTTTTAAAGAATAACTGTGGCTGAACAGAGAGCAGAAAACAACAGCTGTTCCCTTTAGCCGTGGGGCTGGTGGGAACATTCTGCTCATCAATTATTCAAAGTGTTGAAGGGAGTAGTATGAAACGGCTCCGACTGATGGAAGACATTTTCAGTAACTCACTGATGCGTCATGCCCTCATCTCGTGGATCCACAACGGACTGCAACTTTAAATGTTTGGCCTGGTTCGTCAGATCTGTACTGTTTTACTGGATGCAACAGGAGAAGGCCTTTCCCTGTGAGGTAGCCAAGGCCTGCAGGGATGTAATCCATGATGTAATGAGGCCTCCTCCCTGCAGCTGATTATTACAGTACAGCGTTAGTACAGTTGTTGACAGATAAAGAGACTAATTTTTAACTAATCTAATCAAATTTTTAACTAAGTAAAGACTGCATATGGACGTGGTGGGCTGGATAGATGGCCCAAACAAACGCATTACCTTAACTCAAGAGACAACAAGAGTAAACTATTTCTTTTTTTGTGGCTAAACCTAACCAGAGTGCAACAATTTTACAACGTTAACCACAAGAGCTTTTCTTTTAAAGTCTAACTGCACATTGTATTTTATCATTGTGAACTGACTGGAAGTTGTGTATGTTACATTTTATTCTTGCTAACTTGCTAACCCTGCTTTGCCAGATATTACATTACAGAGTCATATTTGAAGAGGACCACCACTGACCAAGCAGCAGTATTTGACGAGTTGTGAGTGAGAACGTGTTGGATGAGACAACAGAAATTAATCCCATGTCAGCGCATTAAGAACTATCTGGAGTCAGGACGTGGTTATCCTAGTTTAGCATAAATATACGAAACAGGGGAAAAGAACTAGCCTGGCTCTCTGAATTTAAAAAATACACCCACCAAAACCTCTGAAGTTTACTGATTAATGTGTGCTATCTGTTTGAAATGTAAAAAAAAAGATTCTGGCTTGTGGGGAGCTGTAGCTCATATATATTTTTATTCAAAGGTTAATTTGTCAGGCTTGTGTCTGGGATTATAGTCTCTTCTGTGTCTTCTACTTCCTCTGTTCTTCTACTTGTGACTGGTGCTATGCTTGGACAATCAGCCAACACTATCAGTTTCACATTGACTTGCTGTCAAGGCAGCCTGCAATTATGAGACGTAACATGAGAGAATCAATGATCAGCGCTGTGACAAGAAACCAAAATACACATTGATTAAACAAATGCTGTGTCTAGACTCATATTGACTGAAAAAGTACATTTTTGAGTTTGCTCTGGATATTCATCATGTGAGCTGCCTGTTGGGATCTGTACAGACTGGATTTGTGTAGTAGTTTTAGTAGCGTAGCTAAAAATATAACCTTACTACAGCCTCTAACTAGACTACAGTAAGAGGATTAACTGGAGACGGTGACTTGTGGGAAGATCAGAGAACATCTGATTGTGTGTGTGTGTGTGTGTGTGTGTGTGTGTGTGAATCTTTGTCCTGCATCCTTTACATGC